AATTGCAAAGGAGTTTTTCCTCACTTTGAGCTCTATTTTGGCTTTCTGTAGTTGCCATCTACTGCTCATTCAGCCCTCTGGGGCTATGGAAAACAGGTCTAATTTCTCTTTCACATGACAGCCCCTCACACATTTGAAGAAAATAGCCATCTCCCCCTCTAAGTCTGCTATAGGTGGAATATTCCCATTGTCCTCATTTGGTCAGTTCTTTTTTACCCTGTCCGTGGGGCCACCGCGATCACCTTCCTGGACTCTTGTTTTATCAATTTTATTTTATTTTCAGCTCCGAATTCTTTCCCCCACCATTCTCTCCTGTCCTTTCCGCTGAGAAAGCATGAAAACAAAACCTGTTACAAATATATAGTCAAGTAAAAATGTTAGGATGTGTGTTAGAATTCATTCAATAAGGCTTTTTCTATTGAAAAATTCAGTCATTATAATAGTTAAATTTGACTTTATCTCTGCTCTTCTTTGTTAAGAATACATTTTCCTTCGTTGTAATCCTTTCCTGACTGTAAGACATAATCAACAAACAAACCATTCTCACCAGCTCTCTTCACCTGATCCTCAATCTTCTCTGCCCCTTTCTTGTTTGTTACCTCTTAGTCTTAGAGTTTTTCTTTCTCACTTTTATGTGGTTCTTTAATCCCCCCCCCCCCATTTAGGTAAGTAAAATCCCCATTTCCTCCCTACTATTCAGCTGATTTTGTTCATCAGTTAGAATTTCATTTTTTGTGCCTCTTTCTAGAAAGGATTTCTTTTTCTCCTTCTCTTCTTTAGTTGTCTTCCTTTTCTGCCTTTTGTGAATGTTTGTTCTTTGTCCGTATTCATCAAGGCACTAAAAACTTGTCAGGATGCTTATTTTGGGTTCTTTCTAAATGGTTTCTATGTTATTATCTCGTTGATCTTGTCCCTTGGTCCCTCTCTTTTTGTTGTACCTCACCCTTAGAAAGTGTAACAGAGAGAAGATCTTTGATAATTTTATTAATTTTTTTCCTTCTAGCTAGGTTCCAATTAATGTTACTGATGAATCCTTGGAAATGATGGATTATTTGAACCTGCATTACATATTTCCATTGGTCTGGAACCAATGACCATATTTTACATAATTATAACTTCAGTAGTATGATTTTGAATTCAAGTGACCACTTTGGGGGATTCATTATTCATGCTAATGGAGACCAAGCTGTATTTTCCTCTGTTGCTCACTTGCTGACTCCCTCTCTTTTGATGGTAGTTTTCTTGGGGGCTCTATCTCAAAGCTATTTTAGCCTCCTATACTGGGCAGTTAATAGTTCTTCAGCCTCAGTCTCTGCCCTAAGTGACTTCTTGGGGGACCGAACTAACCCCAGCCAGCTGCTAGGCTCAGTGGAGTACCACCCAGCTTCACACACACAGATCCTCTCCCAGGTCCCCTCTCCTCTTTCACTGGCTGAATTCTGCTATAGTACAGAATGCTGGTGGTACTGCTCTCCTGGCCCGACCGAGCGTCTATCATTTTTATTTTCGTGGCATTGGGATGAAGGGTTTGTAGAACTGAGTTCTTTTGCCAGCCCTTAGGTTGGCCTGTGAAGTCCTACGGTTAGAATGTGGGGGGGGAGGGGGTACTGAGTGGGTTAGAGATTCTTCTCTGTTGTTAATTCATCAAGTTTTTACCTTGTTTGGCTTCTCGGTGGAGACAGCTATGTCATGGAGGCAGCTAAAATGGCCTTATCTCTTGGGTATGATTCCTCTTTTGGAGAGGCTGGAGAGGTCATGAAGATTGGACACAATGTTTAGTCCTCCAACTTGTGCGCCATGTGATGGGAAGTCTCCTTTAGTATATTTATTATACATTTGCCTTTATCTTAAACTTCTAATGTTGTTTCTAATGCTGCATTTGGTGGTGTTTCAGGGTATTTTTCTTCTGGTGTTTTTGTCACTGTTTCTTTTAAATTCATAATATTTTTTCATTGTGTTGGAGCTGTATTTGGCTCATTCATTTTTTGAGTGTTTTTAAACATTTTCTTTTGAGGATTCCTTGTAGTTTTGCTTCTTTTGGCATTTCTTTTGCTGTTTTTTGAGGGATTATTGAGGAGTCGGCTCCTCTGTAACCTTTCACTTTGCCATCTCCCTAGAATCTCTTCCAAGCAAAAATATGAAAGAAGATTGCATTTCAGTGGGATTCAAATTTTAGGGGAAAATTTAAAGAAATGTAAATACTGATGTATATTCAGGTACATTTTTCATTAATCTTGAAGTATGCTCAGTTAATATTGGGTCTAACCTTGGCTCCATTCTCCTCCTGCTTTAATATCGTGCCTTTTGGAAAACCTCTTGTACTGTCAACAAATTGCTGTTCCTCCTCGGTCTGTTTCTCTTATGCTTCTATCCCCTTATGCTAACTGGAACCTGGCTTCTCCTTTGGTAATACCATAACCTTTTAAGTCTCCACGATGCCTGCCTTTTCTTCTTCCATGCCTCCTGAATCAGGAGAAATGTTCAAATACTTCTTGCTTTCCACTGTCACTTCCAGACCCTTGCTCTGTCCATCTTAGAAACTTCCTAACCTCTGAAATTCGTGACATCCGCTTATCCCACCCTCTCCTAATAATGCTTGTTGCTAGCATTAGCCCACCTCAAGGGTTCTCTTACTCTTTCTCTCCAGGACTTTGGCTCTTGGTTTACAGTCTTTCTCTTCTCCCTCCCTGAATTAAACTAATGAGAACACACCTTGGAATGGGGGACACAGACTGGGTAGTCGTAGGTGGGTTGGCTCTTGATCACTGGAGGCAGCTTCTCATCAACAGGATGAAATTGCAGATTTGGTTGAGCCTCTCGAAGTCGTAGGGCTGTCCGTGGGAATGAGCTGAAAGGCTCCTTGGGGGCCTGTGCCTGCTGTGCAGATGGGAGGGACAAACTATTTTTTCTGTGTGTTAGTTTTGTACAGAGTGGCTCTTCTACCAAAATCCTGTGCCTGTGTCTTCCTGTGGCTTTGAGGTGATGTTCAGATGGCGGCAGTGAAGGGCATTTTCTGGAAGGCGCCATTGAAGCGAGATTCATTGTGAGCGTGGGCCTTGTGACAGTGTTCATGCTGGGCACTCCAGGACTAACTTAGTTGGCAGAGGCCTGTCACCAGTCAAAGGTCTTCATCTCCTAAGACAGGAAGGGCTTGTAAAATTCATTGGCCTTCTCTCCATACAGCTCATTGCTTGGGTTGGGGTGGCTTGGGTACTCTCTTCCATTTATTTACCTTTTTTGTTGAGTATTTATTTCCTTGTGGGGAAAGCATGTAGGAAGAATCCTGAGGAACTGTCGTATTTTTGTCTTTGTTTGGAAGAGGACCTTTCCTCTGTGCTCCTTGTTCCTGGACTTAGTCTTTCCCTGCCGTATTTCTGGGACATGTCTCTGTCTCTGTCTTTGACGTTCCTGGACTTTGTGTCATGTTTTGGCTTCTTCAGCTTCTTTCATTTCCTTGCTTGTCTTGACTTGACCCTTTTACGGCTAATAAGCTGGCAAATCGAGCATTTCCCATAGGTGACATGAGTAACTTCTTGAACTTCTATTTCTTCTGTGTCCCCTTTTCACCCTAGTTCCTTCTCTCTTTTTGTCTCTCACCTTTCTGATACCTTTGGCAACCATCCCTGCTTTTCACTTGTATCCTCTTACTTTTCTTCTGCCCATCAGCTTCCTGTCTTTGCTGCTGCTCAAAAACCTTCTGTGTAGAATCTGCCATTCCAAAGGCCTTTGTACCCTTTACTCTCAGTTTCTGCAGATTGATTCTTGTAGTGAAAAGTGGAGCATCCAGACCTTGGAGTTTCTTTCCTGTTGCTTGTCACCTCCTTGGTTTCTGTCCTCTGTTACTCAGCCTCCAGTGGTATATTTATTTCTGGCCTTAGGCCAGCTAACCCTCTGAACCTCACTTCTCTCTGTTTTCATCCCTGCCATGGTTTGTGGGTTTCAGGCCAGCAGATTTTCTCCTTTCCTGCATCAGGTTGGCTACATCCTTGGTGATTGTCTCTTCACTATCTCCTTTTTCTAGGATGCGTAGCTTTTCTCTTGTGTTATTTAAAACTTAAAAATTGTGAATTTGAACAAAAACCACATTGTATTTCATTTGGGAAGGGTGTATGTGTGGGAAGTGTAGAGGGAGTGGAAACTGCTATTCAGAATGGCAATGTGGTGTGTCTTCTGGGAAAGGGAGCTGGTCCCCAGCATACTTTGCAGGTATGGGCTTGGACCCTCGGTCAGTGGCCAGTGGTGATGGAAGATGGAAGGCCAAGGGGGCAGCTGCCCTGTCCCCATGTTGGTCACCTGATCCATGGAACAAGATTGGCATGAGTTTTAGGAGCTGTCCTGCTGTCCTGGCTGGTCTGAGCTGATGGGATGGAAGAAAAGGGTGCAAAGCAGAGATCTGTGGTGATTTATTGTTCCAGACTGCTTTGCTTTTGTGATCATCTTTCTTAAGCTTATGGACAGATGAGTCTAGATTTAAGTTTGGGGATGAGTGGGATGGAGGAGGTCTTGGACCATTTTCCTGGGTTATGTGTCCCTTCCATTTGTGCCCCTGAAAGATGAAATTGGGTGCCTTACGATGTTGTAGGTTTTGTTTTTCTTGTTTTTAATTTTTTTTTTTTGGCCCAGCGGGTCACACAGCTAGTAAGCGTTATGTATCTGAAACTGGATTTGAACTCAGGTCTTCCAGAATCCAGGGCCAGTGCTCTATCCACTGTGCCACCTAGCTGCCCCTTTTGTTTTTCTTCATTGCCCCTTTTGAAGCAGTTTTCCATTCAAACCAAGGGCGAAGGCCAAAGCAGTCCTTCATCCCTGAAACAGAGAGAGGAAAAGTCAGTCTTGAAAGAAAAGTCAGCTCCAGATCGAGTCATCTCATAGCTGATTAGACAAAAATGACATTTAGGTCCCGAACTAAGAACCTTGGAGGAGCTTTGCAACCTTGTGCAGAGTGAGCCTCCCAGAGCGGGCGTGTTACTCCGTGCTGACGGCTTTATCTTGGGTTGCAGGGAGGCGGGCTCGAAAGGCCTCCGAGCCGAGTAGCGGCGCTGCTTCCAGCCTGGGGAAGAAGAAGCACGTCTCGGAGGCTGAAGCTATGAGCCATTTGGACTGCAGGTTACACCCAAAGCAGCTGGGAACTCCGAGAGGTAGGAAGGGCGGTCCAGGCGGGGCGGGGGTGGGAGGAGGGGAGGGACAGAGAATGTGCCTGGGACCGAGGGTTGCTACAGGCTTCCAGGGACCTCGTCTCTACTCGGGGTACCTTTGTTGTGATAGTAAGACAAGCATTTTTCATACTCCTCCTGGGAAGTGATACCACGTCTTTTAGTAATAGATGTTTATAACTAATTTTAAAAAGTTTATTGCATATGTAAGAATCAAAACACCCTTAGCATGGTTTCCCTTAAAGATCTAGTGTAATCTGTGGGCGTGTTCACTTTTGGTTTTGTTGAGGCGCTCCTGCCCATAATTTTTTACAATGGTGGGAAACAAGCCTGTTTTTTTATATTTTCATCTTCATAAAATAAAATGAGAATGTGTGAAGGGTTAGAATCTGAGTTTTGGGAATGTAGTGACCTTGGACTTGTAAAGGAATTGGTGATGCTTTGTGTTCCTAGGTGTATCCCGTGCAGTTGGTTGTTCCGGAGCTGGGTCATCGCCAGCTGACAAAAAGATGTCGAGCAAAATCTCCCAAGGGAAGAAAAGGAATATATTTGAGGCCTACATGTCGAAGGAGAGTGTCTCAGCTGGCTTGAAGAGAGGGACTCTTATTCAGGTGTGTGAAGCATGACATGAGAATGCTTTGCAAACATCATAAATGTTTGGTGATTAAACAATCACGATGATTTACGATAATGGCCATAGTGATGGTGACCATTCAGAGGCTAGCAGGGAACTGGCAGCTGGGTGGTTTTTCTCCAGACATTGGCCAGAGGAAGCTTTGAGCTGCCTTAGTGGAAGGACATTCTTTCAGTTTGGGGAGTTTGCTGGCCATTACACAGATATATAACCAGTTTAGGGATTGCTTTCTGAAGATTTCTTTTAACATAGCAGGGTGTTAAGGAGTTTGTCTGCTTAAGATGTCAGACACAGGGCCCCCAGGCTGCATGTGACCTAACCTTTCCAAACCAGATTAAAGTATAATTGAGAAATATTTAACAAAGTCCATACGTATGCAGTAGGTTTCCTGAGTCAGTATGTGGACTGCACAGATCCTTATGTGAGGTGGGAATTTGATACTGCTGGTTCAGAAATCAAGTCTAGCTCAAGTGTTTTTGACCCCTCACCCCAGAACCATGCACAGAGATGCCCATGGGGTTTGCTGGGGGAGGTCATCTCAAGGGACTCACTTGGCACACACTGGTGGCTTTTGGTGACCGTGGCTGCAGTGCAGGACCTGGGTCACCAGTGGGGCTTTGTGATGTGGCAGCGACCATCTCCTTTATGAACTTCTCACCTCCCTCCTGGGATGAAAGGAACCCTGGCCTAGCAGTGAGAAGTGGGCTCTGGTTCTAGCCAGCTGATGTGGAGCGAGAACATCCCTGTTCTAAGCCTCTGCGTTCTCCTCTGTTAGTAAGGGGATTAGACTGAATGACTGTCCAGCCTTGACTTTCTTTTGGTTTGTCTCTCAGGCAGGTGCTGGACTGTGTCTGTATCATATTGTGAGCTTTGCAGAGAAAAACACTTCAGAAATACCCCCACTTAGGAAAAAAATGATTTTGTGTAACGTTTGCAAATGTAACTTAGCTCATCACCATTATTAGGCAGATGCCTTGTTTCTGGGCAGAAATCCTTGGTAACTACACCTAGGAGCCCAACAGATGCTTTCAGGGAGGGGACATCCATGCCCCAGATTATTTTATAAAACATTGTGGCTCATCATAGGGGTTCTGTTGGCCAAGCTCATCTGCCTCCTGCTGCTTCTGTGTGTGAATCGGGGCCCTAGTCAGCCAAGCTCACCTGGGAGAGAAGAGTCACCCACAGTCACTGCGTCTTTCTTAGGAATGGCCATGGGCCTCTTCCTCCTATGAGGGCCTGGCCTGAGCTCCAGGTCTGGGCACTCAGCAGGTGCCATCCTGCCTCCCTTCTCCTCCCCTCTCCAGAATCATCCATGGTTGAGTGTCTGGGGGAGGGGGGGCTAATGGTCTGTAGTCTTTGGATGGAAAAAGCGTTTTTGGTAAGTGAAGCGGGCTGACCTGAAGGCTAGTATTGATTCTGGGTTTCTTCCTGCCAGGTCCTTAGCTTTTTCCCAGGTTTGTTTGTTTTTGTTCTTATTTTTTTGTTTTGAAATAACAGCTGACATTTCTATAGCAATGTAAAGTTTACAAATTGCTTTGTGTACATTATCTCATTGGACACTTATACTGACCCATTAAGGTGGGTAATGAATATTATCTCCATTTTTATAAACAAGGGAACTGAAGCTCAGCTGGGGGAAGGAATTACCCACAATCCCCCAAGGAAGTAAGTATCAGAGGCGAGATTCAAGCCGTGGCTTCTCCTGATGCCAAGTCCAGTGCTTTTTATCCTGGACTGTGCCGGGACCCTCTCTCCACTGTGATCACTCTGGCAGTATCCATGAGATGACGAAATTGTCGCCTGAGGAAGAAATAAATAAGAAACCTTAAGAAAAACAGCTGGAAGGCTGAACGTACAGAGGTTGTCGGCAGGGGCTGGGAAGAGAACAGGAGCACCGCCACAGACTTCTCAGGCCAGGAAATGTAAAGGCCCTTCATTGGCTTGTGAATCAGCTCTGATCAATATGGTAGGTCTCGTTCCCAAGTGTCTGTAAGTGGTTCCTGCTGGAGTGTGACATCATGAGACCTTACAGCCAGAGCTTCACTCCCTCATCCACATATGAGAACAGTTGTTCTTTGCAGATGGGGAAAAGAGCTGGTTCCAGATATGAGATCACAGCGTGAAATGGACAACACTGTAAATAAGATTTTCGTAGGCCAAGATACAGGGTCCATCTGCTTCCTAATGTAAACTTGCTGTGTGGACTCTTTGCTCTCTAATCAAGAGCAAAGGCGCTCTGGAAGAAAGGTATTTTAATGCCATCGGACCAAAGCAGGTTTCATGTTGGCCTCAGCCATGGAGCACTAGTTAATTTTCATGTTCAGATTTCAGTACATTGTGACATCTTCCCCCCTTGCCCCGGGACATTGTCCTATCTCCTCCAGGAGCACTGGAGAGCGTGGTTTCTCTGGAGCACTTTCCCCCTCCTTCTTTGTTTTAGTTCATTGTCAAGCTTTGAGGTCACGTCTTAAATGGAATCACAGTTTCAGCTGTAAGAATCTGTTCCCTTCGGATCATGACTATAAATGAGTAGCAGAGGGGTGGGCATCACAATTTTGACCACATACAAAGAAAATATTTTTGCATAAACAAATGTAATACAGTTAAAATGAAAAAGGAAACAGGTTAGCTAGGAAAAATCATTGACCAAGTTTCTGTGTTAAAGATTTCCTATCCAAGAGAGGTATAAGAAACTGATTTAAATTTGTAAGGGTAAGAGCCACTTCTCAATTGATAAATGGTAAGAGGATATGAATAGGTAGTTGTCAAGGGAAGAAACCCAAGCTATACATTACAAAAATGCTTCAAGGGACAGTTAGGTGGCTCAGTGGATGGACCACCAGCCTTGGAGTTCAAATGTGACCTCAGACACTTACTAGCTGTGTGACCCTGGGCAAGACACTTAACCCCAATTGCCTAAAAAAAAAAAGCAAAACTTCAGATCACTAAGAGTTACAGGAGTGCAAATTAAAGCCGGTCTCAGGTTTTACTTCACAACTATGTATTGATGAATTGAGAGGCGCTGGCTGGGCTGCAGGCAAACAGGCACAGCTGGTGCACTGGTCAAGGTGGTGACTTGGTCTAGCCATTCTGGAAAGTGATTTGGGACGACATCCAAGCCAGCCTTCTGCTCTGCTTATACTCTAACTGATCAAAGAAAGAGGAAGTGGACCTGGATCCGCAAATATATTTGTGGTGGCTTTTTTCATTGTGGCCCCACGCTGGAAGATACAGGGGTGCCCTTCATTTGGAGGATAGCTAAGCAGATTATGGTATAAATGGAGACTCTTTTTATGCCATAAGAAATGACAATATGGACACCTCTGTGAGCAGAGGGAAATGAGCAGGGCTAGAGCAGTTTATATAATGACAACATTGTAGAAAAAATTAGCTTTGATCAGGGCAGTGACAAATCATGGCTCCAGAAGAGTGAGGATGAAGGTCCTCCTGCGCAGGAGCTGAGGAGCTTAAACGGTAGAGGGAGACATACGTTTCTGCATCTAGACCAGGTTAGTAAACATTGATTAAGCACCTACTGTATACCAGGCACTGTGCTAAGCGCCGGGGAAGCAAAAAGAGGCAAAAGACAATGTCTGCCCTCAAGGAGCTTACGGTTTAAGGGGGACAATGGACCGACAGACCTGTACAGACAAGCTGTGTTCGGGATAAACAATCAGAAGTGGGAAGGCGCTAGTTAAGAGGAATTTGGAAGGGTTCCTGCAGGAGGTGAGATTTTAGTTGGGAATCTGAGGAAGCCAGAGAAACCAGGAGGCAGAGATGAAGAGGGGGAGCATTCCAGGTATGGGGAGCAGCTGCAGGATGGAGGGGCTCTCACAAGGTAGGAGCTTGGTTTGCCAGACTGAGCGTTTAGTCTACGAGGGCTTGGTTTTTCTTTGGAAATTGTTCAGTTGTGGGGTGGGCAGTGGGAGATAGAGATAATAACATGCCGAGTTTAGAAAAAAAAAATTCTCTTCTACTTAGAATATGTGGCTGTGGAACAGAGGGGAGTAAGGGATGATGTTAAAGCATAGATCTTATCTCAGGCCAGGCTGCAGTTAAAGACGAGCAAAGGGGAAGAGCAGGTTTCAGCAGGCAGTGTGAGTGTGGGTGTATGTGTGTATGTGTGTATGTGTCTCTGTGTGTATACATGTGTGTATGTGTGTGTAGCTGTGTGTATACATGTGTGTATGTTTGTGTTTATTTGTGTGTGTGTGGGAGAGAGAGAGAGAAAGAGATGGGAGCCATCTTTCATTAAAGCAGTGTTGGATCAGGCTGTGTTGGAAGGCCCCAGAGGGCAGAAATTTGTGGGGCAGCATATTTTCCACCTTACTTTCCTTGGAGAAGGGAAAAAAAAACATCCCTGTGACTTTGCATTAAGTTACTATTCAAGAGTGGGTGAGCTTTGTAAGAAAATCTTTTTTTTCTTTTAATCATGCTTTCATGATTTCATGATAAAGAGCTCCTGCCAAACAACGGTAAAATATGTAGTAGAACTATATGTAGCAAAATGTGTAGTAAAACTATAGTTAGGGCATTTACCAGGCCTGCAGTCAGGAAGCTTCCTCTTCTCAAGTTCAAATCCAGCCTCAGACATCTGCTAGCTGTGTGACCCTGGGCAAGTCACTTAACCCTGTCTGCCTCAGTTTCCTTATCTCTAAAATGAGCTGGAGAAGGAAATGACAAACTGCTCCAGTATTTCCGCCAAGGAAACCCCAGATGAGGTCATGAAAAATCAGACATGAATGA